CATGGTCACCACCCATCTGGAGGAGTTTGCCCCCTCACATATACTAATGTGCCACAAACAGGACTTTAATATCACCAACCATTCCCATGTTATTACGGTGTATCCATATAAATGGCCCACCCTGTACTTTTTAGATTCTGTTCTTTGCTTTAATGTTCTGGATATTCACGGATTATTTTACAATATGCATTTTGTGTTCGATACTTTGTCATTATGTCTTGATCGGACTTGATCTTGTAGTTACATTCTCTTTTTGTTTCCCTCCAGGTTACAGTCCAGCATGGGAGGTGTGCAGTCTGCTCGGTCAGTGTGACGGTTATGGAGACCTGGAGGCCCGGCAAGAACTGTTAGCCTTCTCTCTCACACACTGCCCCCCTGACAGCATCCACGGCCTCCTGGCTGCCTCCAGTGACCTACAAACTCAGGTAAACCAGCCAGGCGGTTTATTAACAGCATTGTTATATAGTTTTCATGTTCGGCTGCTGCTGTCATTTTGTTCGCCCTTTCATGTGTGTCCAAAATGAAAATGGTTTGTATAGTGAGCTTTTGAAGCAAATACGTGCAAGAAGAGAATTTGTGATGGTGGGAAAGTTGAATGCTTCTAGGAATGAAAATTGAAGTAACCAGTGGTAGAGCAAAGTGGGTGAATATGACAGTAGTGAGACAGTATAGCTGCTAATGGGAGTGAAGGGGGAAATATACAAGAGGGTTACCAGCAAACCACAGGTTGGTTGTCCGGTATTAACAACCAGTTACTGTAGCAACAAAAATATGAGAACAAGTCCTTTAATTTATTAATGGGGCTGGGTATACGTTAGCATAAGCATAGCATAAGCTGAAGAGACATCTTTTTAAGATTTAGGTAAGATGTGTGAGTAGCTTTTCAAACGCATTCGGAGGAATATCGTTGCCGTTACTACTAAAAGAATTTACTGTTGACTTCATGTGTTTGTGCCTTTAAAGGGGCGGCTTTGCCATGGTGACAAAGCAGGTAGAGGTGATGCGTAAACACATTTTTTTGTATTAGCCAGTTTTAAAAAAGACGTTTGATAGAACCAGCAGTAAAATTAGGACTGCTAAGGAAGTTTTTAAATGATCAATGTAGACAACAATAAAAGTGCCTCCCAAGCCTGTGAGTCAAGGACCTTTAAGATAAATAAGATAATTAGACCTTAGTATACATATACAGTATACAAACGTTAAATCACCAATCACATGGAAGCAACTCTGTGCTTTTAGTCATGTAGACACGGTCATGACTTCTTGAAGTCCAAACAGAGCGTCAGAATGGGGGAAGATGATTTAAGTGACTTTGAATGTGGCATGGTTGTTGGTTGGTCTGAGTGTTTCAGAAACTGCTGATCTACTGGGATTTACAAAGAATGGTCTGAAAAAGAGAAAATATTCAGTGAGCAGCAGTGCTGTGACAAAAATACCTTGTTTGTGCCAGAGATGAGAGGAGAATGGCCAGACTTGATAGGAAGGCCAACAGTAACTCACATAACCACTGGTTACAACCAAGGGATCCAGAAGAACGGATCTCTGAACGGACAACACGCCAAAGATGGGCTACAACAACAGAAGAGCATTACAGGTGTCACTCCTGTCAGCTAGGAACAGGAAAGAGAGGCTACAATTTGCACAGCTCACCAAAATAGAACAACAGAAGATTGGAAAAAGATCGCCTGGTCTATCGTGCTGCAACATTCAGATAGGAGGATCGGAATTTGGGTAACCGACAAGAAAGCATGGATCCATCCTGCCTTGTATTTTGGGCATACTTCTTGACCTTTTAGTCTGAACACGCTTATCCCTTTATGACCACAGTGTACCAGTCTTATAGTTACTTTCCGCATGACAGCACACCATGTTGAAAAGCTTAAATCATCTCAAATATGGAGGAAACTGAATTTGTTATTTCTGGCAAAATAACTCTAATCTCTTGTTTTCCTCCTCCCTCTATCCTGCAGGTGTTGTACCAGGCTGTTAACTATCAAATGGAGCCTGTAAATACAGGGACCGGACGAGAAGTTGACGAGACAGACTCTTTAAAGGTAAATGTATTTTTTTCTTACAACCCCCTCATTCTGTTTTCCATCACATGCATGTTCTTGTTTGAACTGCCTCCTCTGTCCCTGTGTGGGTTTGTTTCTGTCCTGTTCAGTTTGTGTGTTTTCCTGCCGCTCCATATTTGATGAGGTGTAAATCTAGTGTTACGGTGCTCAGCTCCCTTGTTTTATTTATGCCTTCCTTTCTCCTCCCCTTCAGCACTGCCAGCTTTATGATGCCTTGAGTGGGTGTTAATGTTTCATGACTTGCATTTCATCCCCCTTTGTGTGCAAATAGGTGCTCATTTGAAGCTGTCTGTTATCATTTTATTATTGTATTGATGTCCCTCACTTGTATATATATATATAAGCTGGCCAAATGTGTTCTGTGTGTGCACCGTGGGCATGTATTTATGCAGCTTTCAGTGTATGAGTCTGTACTGAATAGTTGGCTTTTATTATATCTTTTCATCATACGTATATGTTTTCTTCATTTCATGCTCTTACCCTTAATCCCTTGCTAAATAAAGTATTGATGAAAGGCACTAAATGATTTGGCTCCAGCCCACTGGATCTCCCAAGATGGCTTTGTAAAGATTTTCAAATGTATAGAAAACAGCACTTTATTGAATTTTGTGGTGTACTTATTAATATACATTGCAAAAGGATTGCAACTTTCATTTCCAAATATTAAATGTTAAAGATTCTTGTAGAAGAGGAAGCTCTCAGAGAGGATTAATAACTAAATACTGATGCTGCTTTGAGAGGGGTAGTTCAGAAGACCAACAGAACACAAATACCACAATTGTGACTTAACTGTGACAACTTCTTTGACTACCTTACTCTGTTCAAAGTCAACAAAATAGACCACATCTGAAGCACTCTATCTATATCTGAAAAATGTGGGTTAGGTGGCAGACGCTCCGATTCACCAGCTAATAAAAAGTGGAAATACTAATAAGTCCAAAACAGTTTTGTTTGGTTTCTATAAACATGGAAGGATGTAGAAAGGCTGGGATATGGAAGCAAATTAGGACAAAATATTCTTTTGATCATAATTTTGACTGTAGAAATCTGAAGGAAAAATAAGTCAGAAATCCAGGACTTTTGTCAGAATTCTGACCTTTTTCTTGGAATTCTGCTTTTTTAAAATTCTGACTTTTGTGGAAATTCTAAGGGAAAAAATTTAGAGAGAAAAAAAAACATAATTCAAGCGTTATTTTTACAGTTCTGTTGTCTTAGAACTTTGAAATAGTCAAAATTGCTGAGATAAAAGTCATAACTCTTTATGACTCATCTTTGAGTGTTTAGCCAACATAAAACTTATAATCTTATTTTGAGATGAGCTGAAATTAGCCCATACAGTGGCGTGCCTCTAAGATATATACTAGGTGTGTTTCGAGTGGATTGTCTCATCTAACTCTGTGTTAGATGAAATAAATGCTGTTGCTTTAAGAAGGAAGCTTTTGCTTTTTCAAGGAGCGAATCACCGAATAAAATTTTTAATTCAGTTGTATAATCTTAGTGACGAAAGTATTAGTGACAGAAATACTTGTTGTATTATGAATCTGTCCTACGTCTGTGTAGGCTTTTCCTCTGCCTGTGTGACTTTTGGAAAGTTTTCTGAACAAACACACAATACAGAATGTGTTTCAGAACCAGATGGGCCCTGCTTGAATGCATATTGTAATTCCTCGTTGCACTACATAAATAAACCAGTAAAAGAAAAAGAGCCCTGCACTTATTAAAATGGCTTCTCAGAAGTACCTAATAAAAAATAGAATACAATATTCATGGGTCTAATCTAGCAGTGCAGATCGAGCGATGCTGTGTTTTTATTTACAAAAAGGAGGTGTTGTATGCTGCACACTGTTCTCAAATTGTAAAGCCCCTTGTCGTGGGTACTTCTACAAAGGCTCCAGAGTGACACAGTAGAATATGTTTACCATTAATTTTTCTTCTCTGTCTTTCTCTTCAGCCCCAACCTCGTGTGGGCTCCTCTGTGGGGACAGCAGGAGACCTCCTGCACAGGACTACAGCGAAGACCATGGAAGTCCTGACTACTACAGGGCTGAATACCAAGGCTGTTTTGACTGCAGTCAGTGACCACCGCTGGTGGAAGGACTCACTCAATTACCTCCGGCCGCTGCATGTAAGAATCCATCGACTGTGTTGTTTTATTAAGTCTTCGCTGCAGATGAAGATTTTTTTTTTGTAAAGTTCTTAATGGGTGCACTAACCACCTTGTAGGTTTAAAAAATACAGTTTCTATGCATTTTACTGATATAAATGTATTTATATTCTGTGTAATAATCATGATCAATTAGCCAGCAACAGCGTAGCAGTGGTTATGGATGTATCTGCCTTGTTTTTAACTCTACAGACTAATGGGCTCCATAGACAGATCTCGTGTCTGTCTGCACTCCCATACCTCACATACTTTTGCTCGCAGACTTCAAAAATAACCAATCAAGAGCTCATCTCCTGCATAATTAATTGGCCCTCCTGTTGAATATTTCAATATCTGGTGGCTGCACAGGCCCGACGGTCGCCCGGGTGGAGATTGATGGCGTCTCTGGTGTTGGCAGCAATTGGGAGGGGTGATCGTGATTGCGGCTTTCTAAAGAAAGAGAAAAAATTGCATTGATGTTAGCTGTGGGACAGGGAAAAAAATATGACAGTGTTGAGGGCATGTTGTGAAAGTTTAATGATGTTTTGATGGCTCCTCAGGGTCGTGGTTCAGGAGCCACTAGCCAGGAAGGGGCATGTGAGAACGCCAACTTGGAGCGCCAAGGCTGCAGCCCCTTTTATCAGGATCTCATTGAGGATCCCTATGTAGACACGGTGAGTGGCTTAAGACCAGTGTTTGTCGTAGCTCTTTGCTTCGTACATTCTTATCAACCTTCTTTCTTCTTATGTTTTGTTTTCTCACCCCAGGGCATCCTTTCAAATTACAGCAAAAGCTGCATGAGTAGGCTTATGACTGGGCAATTAATTAGATTTTCTTGCTATGACTTATACATTCTTTAAAAAGCAGTGTTGAGACAAAATGAATATTGATTTCAGACTGAACAATTATAATGCCAAGTACTAACAGAAGGGACTTTGGACTACTGGTATGATGCTAAAAATAATCCAAAAGAAAAGAATGTCAACAGAAGGAATTATAGGGATACAAAAGAGTAAACGTAAGAAAAGGAGTAGATTGACCTTTGTACCTGGGAAGTGGTCGCCTCTGGGCTATGACTGGGCTTTTTACTCAGAGACACAAATCATACGGAGAGCTGAAAGAGCGGACGGGAGGGGAAACGGAGAAGGCCGATACATCTCCTCTTATGACATTTTAATAGGCTTCTCCAAATCCCTTCCTTCACTTCATCGCCAGCATTCATCCATCTTCCATCATCCATCTACCAATAATTACTCCCCACATCCATCTGCCCATGAGCTGGCTGATCAATGGGATTAGTTTTTACCTTAACAGTTGCAATGAAGGGAGTGGGGATTGAGGAGAGACTGATTGAGAGAGAAAGAGAAACAAATGCAACGGGACTGAAAGATGGATAGAGACAGAGTGGCGAAGACGGACAGGACACACTCTGCGTTGAAACGATAGCTCTGAGACCGAGCAAGAGCAGAAACTTTATTGTCCGCCTCTCAGACACATGAGAAATAACTTGTATACAAGAAACCTATAAATGACTTTTCAAAAGAGCCTGGTTTTGAAAAGCTTTACTTGGCTCTGAAGTTCATTTGTTCACTCAGTCTCTCATCTGTCTGACTCCTTGAGAATGAAGATATTCAGTCATCTTCATCATGTCTCGCTGTGCTTTTTCTGGTCTGCTCAGATATGGAGAGGGACGGTTGCCTTAATATAAAGAAAAGTACTATATCACTCTTCCTTTGTCATTCTTTCTTTTAGAGTCAAGATGTGTATTCGTTCTACAAAGAAGTGCCTGCAGAAAACTTTGCTGAGGTTTTGCTGAGGACTGGAAAATTGGCTGAGGCCAAAACTGAGGGAAAAACCCCGTTTCCTGCTACAGAAGGTAAGCATGTGGCCTACATAGACATAGATTTTCTAGTAACGGGTTGGACCCACTTTTGCCTTCAGAGCTACCTTAATCCTTCGGGTCACAGATTCAATAAGCTGCTGGAAACATTCCTCAGAGATTTTGGTCCATATTGACGTGTTAGCATCACACAGTTGCTGCTGATTTGCCGGCAATACATCCTAAATGCTAATCTCCCGTTCTACCACATCCCAAAGGTGTTCTATTGGATTGCAATGTGGTGACTGTGGAGGCCATTTGAGTAAAGTGAACTCATTATTATGTTCAAGAAACCAGTTTGAAATTATTTGAGCTTTTGTGGCATGTTCTGCTGGAAGCAGCCATCAAATGATGTGTACACTGTCAGCAGCAATACTCAGGTTAGCCTGTGGTGTTTACACAATGCTCAGTTGCTATTAAGCATTTGGTGGTCCAAGGTGTGCCAAGAAAACATTCCCCACACTATTACACCATCGCCAGCAGAAGCCTGAACCACTGATGTAGAAGACAGTGTTGTTTATCTGACCTGTTCTTAGCTGACAAGAGTGGCTCCCAATGTGCTCCTCTGCTGTTGTAGCCCACCTGCTTCAAGGTTAAATGTGTTTTGCATTCAAAGATGGTCTCTTGGTTGTAACGAGTTGTTCTTTGAGTTACTGTTTCCTTCCTGTCAGCTCAAAGAAGTCTGGCATCAACAAGGCATTTTCTCCCACGGAACTGCCGCTCACTGGACATTTTCTCTTTTTAGGATCATTCTCTGTGAACCCAGAGATGGTGGAAACTGCTAATCCCAGTAGATCAGCATTTTCTCAAATACTCAGACCAGCCCGCCTGGCCTTAACAACCACGCCACGTTTAAAGCCATTTAAATCACCTTTCTTCCCCGCTCTGATGCTCCGTATGAACTTCAGCAGGTTCTTTTCATCATGTTTACATGCTTAAAAGCAGGGAGTTGCTTTCATGTGATTGGCTATTTAGGTATTTGTGTTAACAAGCAGTTGAGCAAAGTAGCCACTGAGTTTATACAACAAATATATTGCCATAAAATAGTATGTAAAGTCTGGAATTTGTTTCTTTATTGCCATTTCTTCTGGATGAAGTCTGTTTCCTGGGTCTTTCTCTTTCTTTGTCTTTGCCTGTTTTTCTGCTTCCTACACTGAGCACAATGTTTGAGTGCTTTAGCCAGGAAAGGGTTTCTAGGGGGAGTAGCCACAGTACTGAATCATTTTTATCTACGCACAATTTGTGGATGGCGGACTTCTCAATTTATAAACTCTCATACAATTCCTGGTTTCCATTTAGTAAGAACGTTTTTTTTGCATCAGCAGAAGCTTCTTTCTCCAACCCGAGCCTCTGATTTATTTGTGGTATTCAGGGTTTCTGACTTCTAATTTCATAACCAACCTTTAATAAAATTTATAACCTCACTGTTTATTATTCTTGGTGTACTACAACTCAATTCTACTCCAGATTGGATTTTGGAATCAGGCTGAATTTGAGTGGAGTTTTTGAGGGTTTTTGAGGGCTGGTTGTTCAGACTTTTTGACCTTGTCTGTCGCTGCTCACTAAGTCAATGTGCTTACCACGGTTTTTGCTGGATAATTTAAATTTGAAATGGTAGTTATTGGTACATTGATTTGGCAAGATCTCAACTGTCAGGTTGCTTGTAAAAATTTTTCAGGATTTCAAATTATTATTATGATAATGCAGCTTCTAAGTGTTTGATTGAGGCTGAATTTTGTTTAACTTGAGCTTTTTCCTCAGCGCTCCATCTTAGTGAAGCTGGATGGTATTTGCACAGCGTAGTTGGCTTCCTCCTTGACACCCTGCCCTCTTCTCTTCTCATCTATCTTAGCCTGGGAGCCCATATATGGTCGACTAGGGGACAACACGGGAAGAATAGCCTCACTGATTAATTAATGTATCCGCACGCATCCCACCGCATCAGTAAATAATGCTGCATCACTGCAGAGATACTAGAGAGATAGCATCAAGTCAAAACATCAAGGCCACACTGCATGATGGATCACAGCTGCTCGCGAAAATCAATGACACTACAAAAATAAACGTGTGTGTGTGTGTGTCTGCATGTAATACAAATGCATGTAAAATTCCACACTTGCGGTCACATTTTCACACATCCACACTTTTCAGCAAATCCAACTTCTCTGCAGTTGCCGCTGTCATTCAAATGAATATCTCTCTCTCCTTAAAAGTCACCTTCCCTTCGGAGCAGCTGCAGAGTGCGACGTGTCGAGAAAGAGAAAAGCCACTCTGGACAGCATCGCGTCCGATAACAACCTTCGATTAATGACTGGTGTATCGGCCCGCCGCGCTGGCTGTCCTTAAAAAACAGACTAGGAGATGGCCTTTAAGAAAATAAATATATCGATTTTTCACCTGGCCTAGATAAGTTGGAGGTAATTAATGATGACACAAGTGGAAAGTGACTCAATGGGATTGAGCTGAGTAAGGTGCAGACACAAGCATTTGATGTGAAGACAAGTGGGGAGAAAGAGAGAGGCAGAGACACACACATATTTGCACACATGACTCCGAACTCCGCTGACACACAGCATGGAGTGCTGCCATTTGCCAAATGTTGACCAGGCTCTAATCAGTTGTTTTTCCCCACACTGCCTGCACAGGTGAAATAGTAATAGGTTAGTGTCTCACCGACCTACTAACAATGTGCTCGATTTAGCTGACACAGGAGCAGGAGTGTGTGTGTTTGTGTGTGT